TCTATGTTTTATCCGAGAATGGCCTGAAAAAAATATCCATCCAATGTTGGATCCAAGTATGGACGCATCCAATCTCGGATCCCATATTCGCCTAGGCCAACCCGAGATTGGACGTATTCTTACTTTGGACGCTGACATATATAAATGAAGGCTTAATCATAAGACCAAAGAGGAGAACAAGCTCATAGAAAAAGTTACTTACTTTTGTCTTTGGGAGACTATAATTGGAGGTAATCAGAGAGGAAATCGATTGGATCAGCTGGACACGCCACGCGGTCTATTAATCCACGACGATGATCAAAGTGTTCTTGTAGTAGAACAGAGAAATCATCGTATTATAGAATGGAAATTCGGGGGGAAAATCAGTTGAATAATTGTCGGTGGCAATGAACAAGGAGAGAGACTAAATCAATTGGATTCTCCAAGGGGCGCTATTGTCGATAAAGATAGAAACTGTCTGATAAACTGCGATCGAGAAAATAGCCGTATAATATGATGGCCTCATAAAAATGGAACACATTGAAAGATTATCATCTCGAAGATCTCTTGTTCTGGGTTGACGATGGATAATCGAGGATTTCTCTGTGTTTTTGCCACAGAGAGACACGAAATTCTACGATATCAAATAGATTCTACTCAAGGAACAGTAGTTGCCGACCGAAATGAAAAAGGTGATCGTCTCTATCAATTGAATTTTCCGACTTACATATGCATTGATCAAAATTATTCATTGTACATATCGAACTCCGATAACCATCGTATCATAAAATGGATTGAAAATGCTAAGGAGAGCATCATTGTAGCTGGGAGTCGGGGCGAAGGAAACGATTTGAGTCAATTGTCATATTCTAGAGGACTTGTTGTCGATCCTTCGGGTACGATTTACGTAGCAGATAGTGACAATCATCGAATAATTCGCTAGTTGAAAGAATCTAATCATGGAAATATTGTGGTTGGCGAAAATGGCCCTGGAACTAAAATGAATCAGCTGCATTATCCTCAAAATTTACCATTTGATCGATACGGTAATCTTTATATCACCGATTTGGGCTATGCTTGAGTGCAAAAGTTTGAGGCTGTACGATCAACAAGCTGACATTTTATTGTTTTTTTCTGGTTTGTTGCTGAACAATTGAGTCATAATACGCAAGTAGTTGTTCAGCAATTTCTTGTTTGGTCTTGAACAAATTGAGTTGATCTAGGTCTTCGACTTATGTATTTTCACTGATTATATTAGTTTGAGCCATTAGAAATCAAAATCTTATAAAATCCTATAAACGATTTCAATCATTTTTGCTACAAATCAACGACTGATATTGACCACAAACCCTTAACTATATTTTTTTGTCAATAGATTAGCTATGTGTTATAAGAAAATCTGCATATTTGAGAGCACATTAATATTGTTCAAAAGTATCCTAAACAACGTTGCATCAATACTTAGCAAAACTTTACAGAAATATTGAATACGTGCGGTAGAAACATTATGTGATAGCACATAGTACATGAGGAAAACTACAGCATCCCAGCAGCAAAACTTATTGCAAGGTGCTGAGGTGCAGGTGTGGGTGTGAAGTATAGGTGTCTCTAAGTCTCCGACGGAGGCTCACGAGTAAAATTTTTGACGGAAAAGAGTCTGAGCAACATTTGAAACATAAAAAGGATATTAATTGATAGCGGCACTCCTGAGTGAGATATCAATTTGCATTCAGAGTGTAGTTCTCCGCTTCTAATTGACTAAAGACTAGTCATACATGAAAACAATTCGGTTCTCAGAACACTGTTGCTAGATGTGTATTAGGTAGCCGCGTTTGCTAAATTCGAAGACTCTTCGCTTTCTAAGTCTCAAGAAAGAGCATCAAAAAAGTAAAGCTATGTAATCTGTGCCTCGTAACCTTCATGAACTATTGTCGTCATTATGATTTCTTTGTCGTTGATATATTTATTAACTGCATTCATAAACTTGCTGTAACTTGATATGAAAAAAGATTATTGTTCAATAGTTCGTTCGATCTAGCTTCGTGCACTGAATACATATGTGAAGCCTGTTTCTTAGTTTCCAAAGAAAATACACAAATTTTTTGAGCAAGGTTAATGAGCATTCGAAAGAGTAGTCCTTATTATGATCCATGCAAAGTTAGTCAAAAGTTTTCTAAGTTATGTAATTTAATATGAAAAGATGTGTCATGACGTGGTATATGTTTGCTTAAAGAAAGAACTGTAATGCCACTTGTATCATACCCGAAATGTTTGAAGTAATGCTTCATCAGAGGTGCGCGAATACAAGTACAAAATGTACTCTGAAATCAACATCACCCCCCATAAATTTAGAATCACTGGGAATATGTTCTCATGTACTATCATGTACTCTGATCGTCGTATGTACTGGGGAAAAGTTTAGAATCTATAGCCATCAGTGTACATGGCAGTACATCAGAGTACATCCCCACCGATTCTAAACTTTTTCCCAGTACATACGGCGATCAGAGTACATGAGAGTACATTTCCAGTGATTTTAAATTTATGGGGGTGATGTTGATTTCAGAGTACATGTTGTACCCGTACTCGCGCAGCCCTCTGCAGAGGTGCTTCACCATGAGCGTAGAGTGTGGGTAATCTATACAGTCACACCAACATTCTAAATCACCATAGTGAGTACTTCATTAAATACCTTTATTCCTTCGGAAAGAAAAAGATCGAAAAGGTCTTCTATTAGAAAGAAATAACTACATAAATTCAATGACCAATTTCATGTCATTGAAAACGTGTTATATAAATACATAATTATGACCGAAATACATTTAATTGACGCATCGAATACTTAAGTTGAAGTTTTGGTAATGATTTAGGTTTATTCACAGGAACTTGATGGTTTGGATAGATTGTATTACTTAATACAACAGAAAGAAATGTTTCTCGTGGCAGGTATGAGGATAATTCATCATGTAGCTTAGTTATATCCTGTTGTGTGTTCTTCCACTCCACAAACTGCTCTAATGCAGCTACATGCAATGCCTTGAGCACACGCCAATGTATTTCTTCTTCTATGCTTGAACCTTGACGTAATATATCCAGTATGAGCTCATAAGATAAAGCTTCTTCCTGTAGAATTTCAAAAGATGAACGATGGAATGGATTGAAATAGAACAAATGAAAATTGAATATATCGAGCATAGATTCATGTGATATATCGTGACTTTGTTCATATTCTCGTATTTTTGTCACTAATTCATTCCTTTTTTGTTCTAATTTCGGTGTTAACACAGATATTTCTTCTAATATAAGTTCACGTATTTTCTTTTGTATTAATTCATGCTTCCATATGTCACATATTTCTTTCGGTAAATCTTCGCTGTACCATGGATAAAAGCTAAACTCTAAATTGAAATTTTTCTTTACGTCGTTAATCCAACTTTTTCGTCTATGTATTTTTATTACTGCGCGTCGACAGATTTCACTTTGTAAACTCTCATACATAATCTCTACTACACGTCGAATTACTGGTTCGAGAATTTTCGTCTGGTCAGGCACTCTCAAAAACTGCAACCGATAATGATTTTCATATATTCGATTACGAATTAATTCCTGTCGTTCTTTTAAATTTCGACAGAAGAAGAAAGGCCATTTTTGGGCAGGTTCATAGAGTATTTTCTTCAAAGAATGTTCGTTATCTCCACCAGGATCAATGTCATCGTGATTTGTAGTTGAAAGGAAGTTTCTTGCCTCTCTCTTTATTCTAAGTACAAGTTTCTTGAACGATTGTAACAACAAAGGTTTGAAAATAGAAAAGCAATGTTCAGCGATTCTAAATACATGATAGCGAAGACGAGGCCCAAATAATTCGTAAGCACTTAAAATAAACATAACAAACCAATATATTTGATCGATCACTGCCTCACTGGTAAAATCATATTCCTCTTTAGCCATGGCAATCGCAAATCGAACAGCTATGTTCTGAATAACGGATGGCCTGACTATCTGTACATATTTTCCTAACATAGGACTATATACTAAATTTGAAAAAAAAATTGAATCAACTTCCCGCAAAGTCGGATCTGGTTGTGGTCCAATACCAAGAAAATCGAGAAGAGCAATAATAGGTATAACATCATTTTGTTTAGGTAGATGATTGAATATTTGTCGAACCGAATGAAACGAAAGTGATTCGAGAGCAAAACAAAAATGTTTATATTCAATATGTGGATCGAGTTTATAGTGGCCAAGTTTGTTGCGTACTGATTCAAAGTGATCTGCTGAAGACACAATAGCAGCTAAATACGGAATTTTTTCAATCTTATCTTCGTCAACAGTTAGAACTTGATCTGAAGCAAAACGAAATGTTTTAGCCATTGTTTTTGACTCACGAATATTGTCGATCATTGTGTGACAATTTAAGCACAGTAATATACTCGCTTTATGAATTTTTAGGTTGTTGCGAATATTCCAAAGTAACTAAGAAAATATAGAAAAAAAGGATACATGTGTATGTTCTCTAAATGTAATTTGTGAGTTTAAACATACGTGTGATGAAGTATGAATAATAAAAGAATCTCTTTATAAAACGATCGAACGATGCAGATTCCTCTTGAATAGGCTTCACTTTTATGGCCTTATAAAAAATTCTGCATTTTTTCTTATTGCTTTCTTCCGATTTCCAAGTTGGAAATTACCGAAATGAATCAAAAATGAATCAATAATGTTTTTTTCCCACTATGACGTTTCTCTTTCATTCTTATGTTCTTTGGAAACATTTTGGCAAGCATAGAACTATGTACTTGTTAAGGGGCTCCCCCCCCCCCCTTCAGGAATCGTTTTTCGTTATTCGTGGCCCGATTTGGCTGAAATTTTCAGGCAATATGTGTGTTATGTTAACTTAATTTCTTGCAAATTTTTGGCTCATAAGCTTTTTGCTTTAATGAGTTATTGACGAATTAGTCCTCAAAATGGTGATCTTCGCAAGGTACCGATTTCTCGGGCTGTCGAAGAGGTAGAGAGCTGCCGTTTGTTTTAAATAAAAGAGAAGACCTAAATCTTCAAATGTATATACCGTTTTTCCGAAATTCGATTTTGTTCGGATTTTCGAGACGTTTTTCTGCACTAACTCGGAAATTAGCGATTTTTTACATCGGTGTTATCGATTTATCTCCACAAGGAAATCGAATTTCAAAAAAACGGTATATACATTTCTAGACACAGGTCTCTTCATTTATTTAAAAAAAAACGGTAGCTCGCTATCTCTTCTACAGTCCGAGAAATCGGTTCCTAACTCTCCAAAAAAGTGATTTTGAGAAAACCAATCAACAAGTTTGTATGAAACAATTTTTAATTTCACTATGACTGTCACGACCTCTATACGGCCATTTCATCATGTATACAGAATTTTAAGCAGAAAAGGCTACGTTCCTCTGATTAATTAACATAACAGAACGTATATGTGTTTTTCATTAACGAAAATCTACAAGTTTGTTGACCACTGTCACATCTCCCTAACTAAAAACAATTCTGATAAAACCTTATATTTCTACCAGTGCTTCCAGAAAACCGCTATTTTCACCGTCCAAAACCATTCAAAGTGGAACAAATCGCACATAATCTGAAAGATGACACTTTGGGCTTTCAGCATGTGTGCTTATTTCAAAATCGATTTTTTTCGAAAAAATCGATTTTCTGAGGGGGGAGCCCCTTAACATCCCTCTCTCCTCCCCCACGCCCCCAGAATAGAAAGGCATGGCTTTCCACTACGATCCAGTGAATCAGCCCTTTGTTGGTGGGGTTCTATTGTTGATGGCTTTCTATTATGGATTTTTCGGAAAATTCAAATTCAAAAATAATCGAATTCAGTGTTTGTTTTTCTCCTCGTTTCTGTAAGGCACATGTCGCTTCATGTGATGTGTATATCTCGATTATATGCAAAACACACAGCAGTGTTCAGACTTCCGAAAAAGGAAATTTTGGAAGTTTCGGAAATTTCAAGCACATGTGTTCTAAATTCTTTAGTACTTCCCAAAATCATGTAATTTCCGAAATTTCTAAAATTTCTGAAATTCGGTACCCAGCGAAATTTTTGAAATTTCTGAAATTTCCAATAAAATGTTATTTGCTCTGCTATGTAGTTATCGAGTTGATGGAAGCTTCGGAAATTTCTGTAATTTCCTTTTTCGGAAATCTGAACATACCTCTCTTTTTAATCTTGACAGATTATATTCAACTGCTATCTTCGTCGGAGTATTTCATGAAGACCCACAGATAATTAGATATGTATATATAAGTAAATTTTAAATCGATTTCAAGTATTTATTTTTATCTGTAGTGACTATCTAAATAATATCTTCTTATCTAGCATCGGTTCCATACAGATTTTAACTTATCTACAATGAATGTCTGACTTTACTAGATTTGTTTTAACAAAGTGAAAGTTCTTTAACTCTATTTAAGGCCGCAAAGCTGATTATCAGTATCTTCTCTACAGGCACACGCGTGTATCCACACCCAAGCACATGCTCATATCGGGTGCGGGTATGAATGTAAAACTGATCAAGGTTATAATATCCATACTGACACTCAATCGAACTAACTAGAAGCTCAATCAAAGTCTAAGAGGGAATATTAGCAGGAAAAAGTCGAATCTACTACTAAATTTGCTCAAGTTCTTTTTATCAGTATGATATTAAATGAATTAATCATTCGAACTCTTGTAGACATGAAGCCACATGAAAATTTCAGCAAAAGCAAAACGCGCTCAGTATGATACGATGTTGTGAAATGTTTCTTTCAGAAAATCGCAGAAAAAAAAATTGTTGATTTAATATTTTTTGTTGAAATTCAGTGTTTTTTCTTCTTCAATAATCATCGGAAGATAAGATAATATATATTTATTGTAATAAAAAACAATAAAAACGATAGAATATGGAATTAAAATGTTTTTTTCAAAGATAAGTTGATTCGATCGTTTTATTATTACATTAAATTTAATTGTAGAAATCATAATTTATTTATTTGAAATAATATTTTTGAATTGACACATTATTGTTGACGAATTAGCCTTAACTGGTAATTCAACAAAAATTTCTCGTTTCGATGAAATATTATTTTGACTTATTTTTAAACCATCGACTTGTTCGCGAATTTTTTTTCCATTAATTGGTAATCGATAGAGAGTTCCAACTAACGGAAATATATCATCAGATTTAAGTACATCTTTTGCGTTTGAACGATCTTTTTCATTTTCTATTGTTTTTTTAAATAAATTTATTTCTTCTTCATAATCTTTCATCATTTGTTCAAGACCTTGAATGACATCATTATTTTGGTTACCAGCATTTTTTTTCATTTGTTCTTCTTTTATAAAAAGTTTAAGATATTCTAATATATCATCATTTAATGGAAGAATTGCATTTGCATGAAGAAATTTTGAAAGTTTTTTATAAACATCTTCTATTTTTGATTTTTCATCTTTTAAATCACTTATTCGTTTATCAATATCACTTAATGAAGATGCCTCGGTAAGACGACGAACATTTGTTTCATATTCATATGTTATATGTTGATGTGTTTTCCATGAACATTTACATTTTGTACATTTACCTAGATAATAATACAGATTTTAAAATAATAATTAATAGAAATTCAAATCAATTGAATTAATTTATCAAAAATGAATAATTCTTTATTTATATTAAACAAATAAGTTGAAATGCTAAATGGATTCTCTGTAATTCATATTCTCATTTAGATATATATTGAACTTGTCAAACCTAACATTTGACATTCCATGTCGCATGTTTATTTTCAGTAATGCCGGTCTACTGCTGGCATGTGAAACCTCCTCCTTTTCCTCCTTTTTCCATAACATGTCCTCCTTCACCTCCTTTTTGCATCGGAATCCTCCTATTCCTCCTTTTTATCACTTAAGTTGTGAAATCAGTATTTTCAATATTTTAAACAAAAACATTCGGTGATTCTACAGTTCAGAAGATATTTGAAATGATTGATTATAGCAAAGCAACAAAAAAATGTCTTTTAGTTTTCAACGAAGATCAGTCTTTATTTCGAGTTTTCGACAAATTAAAGTGTCATCTTCACGCATTAACTAGTAAGAATACATAGATATGCATATATACAGGGTGGCCCAAAAGTCACGTTACCGAAAAAAAATTTCACATCTCCATTACGGCTCAAGCAAACGAACTGATTTTTTTATCAATTCAAGAGGCATGTTCGAGGTGTATATCCATAAAGACAAGCCC